AACCTGGCCTTGAACACTGCCAGGGATGGGGCAGCCACAGCTTCTCTGGGCACCCTGTGCCAGTGCCTCAGCACCCTCACAGGGAAGAGCTTCTGCCTAAGAGCTCATCTCAGTCTCCCCTCGGGCAGGTTCAAGCCATTCCCCTTGGCCTGTCCCTACGGGCCCAGAGGATATCGTGTGGAGATACCCAGAGCAAGTGCTTTCTGCTGGACTGACGCTTTCTTCTCCCACTTGGCTCTCGGCTCTGGTGCGATTGTGTCCCCTTCTTGCCCAGTCCCTGGTCCCCTTGAATGTGGCTGGGCACCATGGGGTACCTTGCCCACTGTCAAGCAGACCCCAACCACACCAAGGGCTCTTAAATGCCCATTGATGTCCCGTTCCCCTACAAGTGATGAGGGGGGGATGATTTGCCATTCTGTCACCCACTGGTGAAGCGAGCCTGGTAGGGACACAGGCAGCGCTGTCACTCCAGCCCCAGCGGCACACAGGGACCACCCCGGAGCCTCGCATGCACCCGGCATCACTGGCACATGCATCAGGGGGAGCACCCACTGCCTGCACTGAATGGCCCCCAGTGGCTCCCACTGGGAGAGGCAGACGCAGAAACAGCCAGGAGGATGCTCTGGGTGCACCATGGGGTGTGAGCTGTGCGCGCAGGCTGGCGTGTGCACACGTGTGTACATGCGTGTGCACTGCGGAGGGGGGGGGTGTGTGCACACTGAGGTTTCAGTGCAGGCACAGCCCCACCACCCGGTGCCCACCCCGAATTCCTTTCTTCTGGAGCAGCTGCTGTCCATGCCCTCTGCTATGGGCCACTGGGGAGCAGCACTGGTGCTTTCCGGCTCATGGCTGAGCCCCAAGGGGCAGCCCCATCCCTGGGGTGCTGGCGGCTGAGGACCCTTTGTCCTCGAGTGCTGGTTCCCCCCCAGGGGGGATTTTATGTCTGGAAAACAAACCCACATCCCAATCCAAGGGTGCTGAATTGCAGCATCAATAATGCAGCCAGTGCCATCCCTGGTCCTGAGCACACTGTGGCCATGACCTGGCTCCTCATGTCTGCACCCACATCCTCCATGGATGTGGGGGGCACGCACAGCTCTGGCCACAGAGCATGGGGCTCCTGATGTTCACAGCTTCCCCATAGTGAGCCCCAGTCCAGGATGTGAATTGCCATCACCCCGAAGGCTCATCCTGACTCCAGGATGAGCACCTCCATCTGTGGGGACCTAAAGACACTGCAGCAATGGGTCAGCCATTCCCTGCCCTCAAAGCAGGAATTTACCCTTTTTATTACATAAGATGAAGGGTACAGTGTGTCCTTCCCCTTCCCCCCCCCCCCGGTACCTCTTGGGCACAGAGTAAATTTAAAAGTGCTAATTTGATTTTGAGTTGCAATTAAGGAAAAAAATGGGGCCTTTCAGGAGTCAGTGCTGAGTGACAGCCCATTTCTCCAGCCCTATTAACCTCAAATGAGCACCTGCTGGCAGAGGGGCCTGGGTGTGCCGGGGGAGACAGGGACGGGACATGGTGCCAGCACTCACATCGTGGCTGCAGGTGAACTGAAAGTCTGTCAAAGTCACTCCGGCACCACAAGCCCTGAAACACTCCCATGGCCGCTGCAGGAGCAGGTTTGGCCACATGTGAGCAAAGATGCTCCCAGATGTTCCCAGATGAGCTGGTTGCAAAATCTGATCACAAACGCACAGAATCCCAGCCTGGTTTGTGTTGGAAGGGACCTTAAAGCTCATCCAGTTCCAACCCCTGCCACGGGCAGGGACACCTCCCCATAGAGCAGCTTGCTCCAAGCCCTGTCCAACCTGGCCTTGGACGCTGCCAGGCTGGGATGAAGCTCTGGGCTCTCCCAGTATCCAGGCAGGTCCATGATGGGAGAGGGAATCTGGGGGGTGAAATGGCTCCTGGGAATGAGTCTTCCCAAACACCCTCATTTTAGACGTGGGAAGTGCCAGGAAGGGGCAGGTCTCTGCTGGTTTGGGGTCTGCTTTTGGCACATGTGCAGGGATGATGTTTCCCAGCCGCTCTTCCCCAGACCAGCTCCCAAGGCCAGTCCCCAGGCTTCCAGCCCCACCAGTCCCCATTCTGCCCCTCCAGCCCGCGGGAGGCTGCACAACAGCACCTGCTGGTGCAGAGACTGGGGATGCTTGGCCCCATCACCAGGCTGCGCTGAGCTGTGGCCGAGCACCAGGTCTGTGACCTCCTTGGGGACAGGCAGCCTCGAAACCTCAGCCAGGGCAGTCACGCACTTGAAACAGCCGTTTTAGCAGAGAGGAAGCTGCTGCAATGGCCTCTGCCAGCTCCAGCCTTTCACAATGAGGTGCAATCCCACGGTGAGAAGATGATGGAGCACGGCACGGAGCCCGAGAGGCTGCAGGTCCCAAGGGCAACGCCGGCCCCACGGCTGGGGAGGGACTGCAGAGTGCACCAGCACCCACTGGGCTCACTCCCAGCTCCATGTTCCAGGCTGGATGCTGGTGCAGAAATTGCTCCCAGTGCCCCACCACTTCCATGTCATCCCTCTGCACTCCCTCTCATGGGTGCAGGATAAGGACAGTGCTGGTGTGGCCCCAGCATGGGGGTCGAGGGGGAGATGCTGCTGTTTGGAGTGGGAATGCCTCTGACCAGAGCTGGATGGAAGCCTGACACCACATACCCTGACCCCCAACTCTTGCCTACCCAAGTGGCTGAGACCGGGCACACTCAGTGCATGCCAGGGGCTGGCTCTACTGCTGCCAGCTGGGCAGAGCTGGTCACCCGGGCTGCAGGCACAGGATACAGGGCTCCAGCAGGAGATACAGCCCCGAAGAGCCCTGAATGGGCAGGTCCCTGTGGGGATGGGGACCGATGTCACCGGTCTGGGGACACCACATCACCCTCCTATGCCAGCACCTGGGAGATGTGATGAAGCATTTGGGATGCAATGTCACATCAGGGGCTTGTGTGGGGTGTCAGGGGAGGGCTGCGAGGGCCACTGGGGCAGATGGAATGGTTTTGGGGGGCTGTGCTGGAGTCCGTGTTGGTGGGGAGAGGGCTCCACACTGAAATGGAGCAACTGAGGTGCAGCAAAGGAGAGCTGGGGGGACTGGTGAGGAGGTGGATGAGGGCTGCACAGGGGTGCGTGTGGTGAGGCTGGGGTGCAGGAACTGCAGGAGGGTGATGGGGGCTGCAGCGGGGTGTGCACAGCGTGCATATGGCTGCTGGGGGAGATTGTGGTGCTCAGTGGGGGTATAAGGGGACTGTGAGGGACCAGAAGGTGCATGTGTGGGGCTCTGGGGATGCTGTGCCAGGGGACGTGCCCTGCAGTCAGAGACCTGCTGCAGTCTTCTGTGGCTCTGGGCATCTGCTGTGGGCTGCAGCTCTCAGTGCTGGTGCTGCTCTTAGTGCTGGTGCTGCTCATGGTGCCAGTGCCACTCATAATGCTGATGCTTCTCGCTGCTATCTCTGCACATTAAATATAGCCAAGTCCTCGCTAGCAGACACAACCCAGCCTGTTGTGCACCCAGGAAGCTGTGGCAGCACCCCTGGGCTCTGCATCACCAATGGGGTTGGTCCCACACCACAGCCTCCCAGGGACCCCATCGCCAGGGTATTTGGGTGTCCTTCTCCAGCTTCCAGCCCCAAGAGGAGCCGGCAGCCACGGTGCAAAGGGCTCATCATGCTCCATCGTGTCCCTGTGGGCACAGCTCTGGCCTGGTTTGCCCAAACGCCCACAATACCCCCATGCAATGTAGAGCAGGACACAGGCCAGGCCTCCTGTGTGGTGGCAGCCCCCCCCCGCGCCTCGCCCCGGGTGCCTGAGCCCCCCCCAGCCCCATCGAGCTGAAAATGGCCCTGGCCAGGGCGGAGCTGGGGCTTCTCCTGATGGAGCTGCTCCACTTGGTATAAATAAATGCTCCTCAGTGCCACGGGGGTGGGGGGGACCCTGCCTGCAGCCGCCTCCCAGCATGGCCTGTTTTGGGGTGCTCTGCTCCTACCTGCGGCACCTCGGCTCTTGGTGCAGCAGCACGTGGCAGAGCTGATGCTACGAGTGCCCCAGCAAAGCCCACGGTCCACACCTCTGCCCCCATGGGCACAAGGGCTCCCGCAGGGCTGTGCGGGCAGGGGAGCAGTTGCTGGCTCCCCACCTTTGCTGGAGGAAGGGGAAGGGAAAGGGGGAAGCAGAAGGGGGACAGGGGGTACCCCATGGTCCCCCCCAGCCGCAGCCCTGGGGAGGTGCCCGCAGCATGTTTCCGGGGGAGAAGGGCAAAGCCAGGACATGCAGCTGGTTGCACAACCCTGGCACAGCCAGGCAGGAGGACAGGGCACAGAGGAGCCAGGCACAGGGAAGGGGGACAGCACAGGCGGGTGATTTGGCACAGGATCTGTGTGGGGCTTGGCAGGGCACCAAGGGGGGGCTGGTGGTGATAACTGAGCAGCACAGCCCAGGCTGCGAAGATGAGTGCCAGCAGTGCAGGGACTGACCCCTCCATGGCATCTTGGGGCTCTGACATCTCCCTGCTACCCACCACCAGCCCAAAGGTGGCAGAAAGCCTGGAGCTGCCCCTGTTCCCATCCCCTCAGGGTGTAACTGCCCCCAACAAGTATCTGCCAGGCCTGTGCTCCGCAGTGTGTAGCGGAACAAGGGTGCAGAGGAGATGCACCGTGGCCTGTGCATCACCTGGCTGGGACACTGCCCCAGCTGCAAGCAAGCAGCAGAGCCCACGTCCTGCTCACCTCTGTGATACTCCTGCCTCCCAGCAGCCATAGTGCCCACTGGAACTGGCTGCCAGCACCGAGCTGTGTTTGCTCTCTTATCACCAGGAAGAGCAAAGCATGAGCACGGGCTGGCACCACTCAGCAGGCTGGGAGGTGCCGTGGTGGGGGCAGCACCTTCTCACAGGGTGGCTGGAGACCACGGGCTGTCCCCATCCCCTCCTTGTGTCACCATGGGGCCCCAAAGGGACATGCTCAACATGGACCAAGCACTGAACTCAGCTGGGCACAGCCATGACACAAATGCCACTTGTATTTCCAGTCCATGCTGGGGAAGCCCAGTCCATCTGTCCCAACACAGGCAGTGCAGCCCCTGGCACAGCCCCCATGGGGGACAGCCCTGCTCTGCCCGCAGAGCCCCTCTGGTTCCCAGCCCATGCCAACTATGTGCCCTCCTGCTCCATCCGCCCCTTCACTGCTGCAGTGTTGTGTCACCTGGTGCGTGGTGGGACGCAGGCAATGGCCAGCTCCAGGATCACCTCCCTTGGCTGCCCACTCCACCTCCTCTGCTGCCTCAACCGCCCTGGGCTCACTGGCAGCGCAGGGTATCCCGGGCATCCAGGTTCACAGGCGTGCTCCCACCCTGGCATCCTCACCCCAGGGGCGAAGCGGGAGCAGTGCTCCTCTTCTCCCCTTGCATGGCCCACGGAGGCTTATTTGTCGAGGATGAGGAAGAGCAGCACCATCAGGAGGACGGGGAGGAAGATGAGGAGCAGGCTGAGCATCTCTGCCACCAGCAGCAACCCCAGCAGCAGGAGGTAGCAGCAGCGGCAGCGGCGCTCGAGCCGCGCCAGCGCACGGATGAGGCAGGCTGGGTAGCGGATGCAGGGCAGGCACCCAAACATGCGGCTGGTGTGGAAGCGCACGTGGAAGCGATGCTCCAGGGCGCCGGCGAGGCCCGGGCGCCGCGGTGGCAGGGCAGGGGGCCGGGGGCTGACCAGGGTCCCCGGGGAGCCGGGCTGGGCGTGCAGCAGGAGCAGCTCCTCCTGCAGCTTGCAGATCTCCCACTCCAGCATGGGCGTCTTCTGGCGGCAGATGGGGCAGCGCACGCGGCCGAACTCGGCGCTGGCAGCTGTGTCCATGATGGCGCGCAGGCAGGCGCGGCACAGCCCGTGGTTGCAGTTGAGCAGCGCCGGTTTGTGCCGCTGCTCGTCGTAGGGCTCTGTGCAGATGGGGCACTCATCCTCGCCACCCGCCGGCAAGTGGCACGGCTCCGCTGCCGCCGCCTCATCGCTCAGTGTCTGCTTTTCCTCAATGGAGAGGCTCAGGATGGAGCTGGAGGCACCTTCCAGACTGGGGGAACCCCTCCACGATGCTGGGCTCTCCCCATGCGGCAGGATGGGGCTGGCAGCAGCAGGAGGGTCATGCCCCGCAGGCAGGGTGGCAGCGTGGGCAGGCGGCTCAACGTGCCTGGGCAGGAGAGGCTCCATTGCATCCTGCACCGGCGGCGGGTTGCAGAGTCCCCAGGCAGCGGTGGGAGCCTCTCCGCAGAGCTGGGGTAGGTCCTGGGGACCCCTCAAGCCCTCAGTCTCACTTTGCTGCCCAGCACAGCATTCCCCTGCTGCCTGCACCGGCTGTGGGCCAGGCTCTGCTCCCTCGCCTGCTGCTGGCTCCATGGGGGCAGCCATAAGGCAGGCACCCCCTTACCGACACCCGCTGGGTCCCCTCCGGGCTGGGTGCAGGCTGTGGGTGCTGCTCCAGGGCAGGACGCGGCCTTCAGCACCGGTGCCACGAGGGCTCAAGGGTAGCGGCGTCTGCACCGAGTCCCGCCATTCCTCCGGCACGATTTGGGGCTCCCTCCCAGACCGACAGGTCAGGACCCCCGAAAGCAGCGTGTGCCCCCATCACCCTCACCGACAGGCCACCCCGAGAGCTGAGGTGATCGTGAGCATCCAAAAGTCACTTCCTCCTCCTCCTCTTCCTCTTCCTGCCCAGCGCCGATGCAGAACTGACCCGCCACAGTCTGGAGGAGAAGGCAACGAGCTGGTGCTGCCGCTGTGCCAGCTCAGGGCGCAGGAGCTGGGGCTGGCTCCTGGCTCTGACCAGTCTGGTTTGTCAGCTTCTGGAAGCGGCTCAAATGCAGGCAGCCCGGGGCAGGCGGCCATGCCCTCGCCAATCAGCTCCCGCCACAGCCGGGGAGGAGCTGGGCCCACGGCCGCCTCTCCTCCTCACCCAGCACAAATGGAGCCTCTGTGGCCACTGCCCCCCATACCACTGCCCGTGGGCACTGCCCCAGCCAGCCCCCCAGCTCCCATCCCAGCCAGGCCCCCAGCCCCCATCCCAGCCAGCACCCCAGCTCCCATCCCAGCCAGGCCCCCAGCTCCCATCCCAGCCAGCCCCCCAGCTCCCATCCCAGCCAGCCCCCCAGCTCCCATCTCAGCCAGGCCCCCAGCTCCCATCCCGGCCAGCCCCCCAGCTCCCATCTCAGCCAGGCCCCCAGCTCCCATCCCGGCCAGCCCCCCAGCTCCCTTGCCAGCCAGCCCCCCAGCTCGCATCCCAGCCAGCCCCCCAGCTCCCATCCCAGCCAGCCCCCAGCTCCCATCCCAGCCAGCCCCCAGCTCCCATCCCAGCCAGCACCCCAGCATGGGCCCTGTGCTTCCCCAGTGCAGCTCCCCAGCTCCCATCCCAGCCAGCCCCCCAGCTCCCATCCCAGCCAGCCCCCCAGCTCCCATCCCAGCCAGCCCCCCAGCTCCCATCTCAGCCAGGGCCCAGCTCCCATCCCGCCCAGCCCCCCAGCTCCCATCCCAGCCAGCACCCCAGCATGGGCCCTGAGCTTCCCCAGTGCAGCTCCCCAGCTCCAATCCCAGCCAGCCCCCCAGCATGGGCCCTGTGCTTCCCCAGTCCAGCTCCCCAGCTCCAATCCCAGCCAGCCCCCCAGCTCCCATCCCAGCCAGGCCCCCAGCTCCCATCCCAGCCAGCCCCCCAGCTCCCATCCCAGCCAGCCCCCCAGCTCCCATCCCAGCCAGCCCCCCAGCTCCCATCCCAGCCAGCCCCCCAGCTCCCATCCCAGCCAGCCCCCCAGCTCCCATCCCAGCCAGCCCCCCAGCTCCCATCTCAGCCAGGCCCCCAGCTCCCATCCCAGCCAGCCCCCCAGCTCCCATCCCAGCCAGCACCCCAGCATGGGCCCTGTGCTTCCCCAGTCCAGCTCCCCAGCTCCAATCCCAGTCGCTCAGCTCATCCCTGCCCTGGGCCACCCTGCCTTGCTGAGCCCCATTGAGCAGCTTGCAGGGCTTGGAAGGAAGGATGTAGCTTGGACAGCATCCCATGCTAGTGGACAGTGTCACCAGCATAATGACTGCCATGCAGCAGCTCTGTGCTGGCCCTGGGCCATGGGGACACACAGCCCAGCCCAAGCCTGCAAGCGCAGCAGCTCCTCACAGCTGAGCTCTCCTTGGTGAGGAGACCCAAAAATCACCCTGCTTCCGCTCCCCACAGTGCTCATTGCTCAGCTCCCGCAATGCCCCCAGGCACCGCTCGCCATCACCCCAGATCCAGTGTGTGGGATGGTGGCTGGGTCACAGGCGTGGTGTGGCATCACTGTCCCTTCCTGTCCCAGCCTCATCCAGGACTGTCCCGAGCTGATTCACGCCCTAGGCCCTAATTGCTATTTACACAGTGGCACCAAGTTCACTGAACTGGGGTAGAAAGGTGGTGGCACTGGCCCCACTGGGGCAGTAGCACAGTCATCATGGAGCACAGCCCAAGGTTGCCAGGGAACAGGCTGGAAGCAGCTCCAGGATGGGCCACAGGATGTGCTCAGCAGAGCAGGTGTCCAGGGAATGGGATAACTCAATGGGAACTGGCATTTGGGAAGCTCAGACTTTGGCATCGAGCAAGCTCAGGAAGATGAACAGAGGGATGGAAGCTTCCTCCTGCACCCATCCCCGCTGGCGGGGATGCAGACAGGGGGAACAGGTCTGTCAAGGCAACCTCCTGCAGCAAGTGCTGCTGCCGCTGACTAATGCCAGGGTGGAGAGGCTCCACGCAACAGCTCACTTCCTCCAGGTCCCACCACCACCACCAGCCAACACCAACACTGAGCTGTAGCGATGCCGGCAGGTGCTGCTCACCTGCTCAACATGGGGACCCTGGGAGCTGGAGCACGTGGATGGGATGGCAGCTTGGTCCCATGCAGGAGCCAGCCAGCAGCATTCCACCAGATCCCTCGCCTCCACTCCAGCATGGGGAGCCAGGCTTCATCCCACCAAACTCACACCCAGCAGTCGGGCTCCCCTTGCCCACCGTGGCCCTGCTGCCATTAGGGGGGCCTGGCTGGATAAATCCACTCCCTCTGCTACACCGCTGTCCTGGTTGCCATAATCTCATCTCAAGGACGATGCTGGAGGTGGATCCTTTTGCTGGCTCCTTTATTCAGGCACAGTTCATGGGAAGGGGGAGGCCGGGAGCCAGCCTTATGACCATGTTTCAGACTGGAAGCGCTGGGACCGTTCCAGGGCTGCTAAATACTCCTCTGCTTCAGAGGGTGACAGGCCACCTTCCAGCTGCAGCACCGACTGCAGGGCTTCTGCCACCGCCGCTGGCATCTGCTTGGCATTCCTGGAGGAGAGAGGAGGTGGTGCAATGGAGGGCAAGAAGGAAAGCTAGGGCGTTATCAGCAGCCCCAGTGCCCTGGCAAAGCAAGGCAGCATCATCCCCCTCCAGCTGAACCCACCACCCCAGCACACAGCAACAGGGGGGAACCTGCCTCACCCTGCAAGACAGGCTGCCTGGCACTGAATAAATGACAGGCTTTGAGAAGCAGCTCCTGCATTCCCTAGCGAGCAGCACCATCATCCACACAGGACTTCTCAGTGGTGGCATTTGCAAGCACAGACATGGCAAAGGAGCCTTAGCTGTGGCCCCATGTTGCTCCATTTCCTATCACGCTCATTAGAGGGACATGAGGAATATGCACGAGGTGTAATGTATCAGTGGGAGAACAGGAAACTGTCCTTTAATCTCGGGAAACAGTGTGGAACGTGTCTGATCCTGAGCTGGCGAGACAACTGCTGTGAAGGAGCAGCCGCGTCCATCATCTGCCACCTCCTTGCAAGACATCTGCAGTGATTGCTCTGATATTTGCAACCAAAGCCAATTCAAACCTCCAAATAAAGAGAAATGGTGAAGAAAATGTGAGCTCCTGTGTAGAAGATACCCAAACAGGATCCAGCCCTTCCAAGCACAATTAGTTCTCATGGGAAATCAGATATTCAGACTTTTTCCTGGAGAGAGTTTCATTTGATGAACTGACTGTACGAGAAAAAAACAGCTAATAAAACATCTCTCAGGCTGCTCCAATTGGCACAAGCAGCTGGTAACGTCCTTGCTGTGTCCCAGGAACAAGGCAGGGCTCTGACTTGCGTTTGAAGCTGATTAACATCCCAAAATACACAGAAAGGAGGTCTTCTTTTTTTGGAAGTCGCATTGTTTCTGAGTCAGGCACCAATATGCAAGTCCAAGATCATGGAGCTGGGCTTGGGATGCAAAACATGTCAAATAGCTGGTTTTTGCAGGAAAAAAAATACGGGAGATTTGCAACCTTTTTCCCCCTGGGCACAATTATAGACAAGATCCAACCCTGGCTCCCCAGAGTCTGCCCCAGGCAGCAAAACCACTGTGCTGCATGGGCCAGGGCCAGTGCTCAGGGACACGCAGCCCAGGACCCACTTTCCCATCTTCTCCTGGTGAGGCTGAAACTCAATACTATTTTTAGGTGAAAAAGAGGCCATTTTGAGGCCAGGGCACCTGCACCTTCCTGCTTGGCATCCCACTGGAAAATCAGAGTCTGGGGGTGACGGAAGGGCACTGTGATCCCAGGTATCCATCAGTGTGGTGTGGGCTGGTCAGGACGGGTGGGGAAGTGCCCACTGGGAACAGCACAGTTGGCATTTGTACAAGGAGGGTGAGGCTCTCAGATCATAGAATCCCAGACTGGTTTGGGTTGGAAGGGGCCTTGAAGCTCACCCAGCTCCAACCCCTGCCACGGGCAGGGACACCTTCCACTAGAGCAGCTTGCTCCAAGCCCCTGTGTCCAACCTGGCCTTGAACACTGCCAGGGATGGGGCAGCCACAGCTTCTCTGGGCACCCTGTGCCAGTCTCACCCACCTGCTTGGGGCTGAGGCTACCCCATGCTGTGGACAAAGATGGGTCTCAGAGCAACCCTGATGTCCAAAACACCATCCTCATGGTCACTACCAATCTCTGCAATGGGGAGAGCTGTGCAAGCCCTGCTCTTTCCAAGACACTTATCCTTTTTTGGCTGTCCCCAGGGTGTCTCCATCAGCGCCAGAAAGTAGCAAAGAATGCAGGAAGAAAAGAACAGCTGCCCTATAGTCTCAGCATTTGGGCTGTGGAAGGAGACACAACCCCAAGTCCCAAGTGCAGCTTGATGGAGGAAATGGAACCCAAACCCCAGCTCCATGGGAAGGAATGGCTGGTTTGGGGTAAGGGCCCCAGGAAGCCCTGTGGAGCAGCGAGGCACAGCAGAGCAGGGGCAGCGGCCTGGCCTTAGCTTCCTGGGCAGTAACCAAGAACCTCCCTCTCCCAGGAATGCACTGAGGGCAGTCCCACCCCACGAGGCACCAGGGAAGTTCCTGCTCTCGTGGAGGACAGGCAGGGAAGAGCCTCCTGCAATCGCTGCTCATGTCGACAGCAAGGCCCAGGGTTGCTCAGCGCTTCCCAGGTCATGGGGTGCACGACAAACACCATCCCCAGCCTCTCACCTGCTCAAGGAGCCCAAAGCATTTCACAACCCTCACCCCGGGCAGCAGGGAGCAGCGTCCTCCCTGCAGCCACACAGGCAGCAACAAGGGCAGGCAGGTTAAGGGCTTTGCCCAGGAAAAGAGCCAATGAGCAAGGAATGGAGCTGCAGATGCTCTGCCTCCAAAGGCCACACATTTTGGCCAACAGTCCAAGGTTTCCAACCAGCCCAAGCCTGGTGAATGATTGTGCTGTCAGAGGAGGCAGGCTGCAGTGCAACATGACACAAGGTCAGCTGCAGCAGCT